CCTATGGCATGATGGTAACTACTGTGGGGGTTTTGCAATGGGAGTAAATGAGTTGTGGAGTAACTAACCACAAAAGAACCCGAATTAGCACTTATTACAATGTGTTCTCACAAATTCAAACATTTACTGGTATTTTAATAACTCTTCAACAGAGTATATGGAAAAGTGAGACATTTGCTGTGAAACTTTCAGCTTGTAGCACAGTTTGCTAGACAGCTTGTCGCTAAGGTGGGCCATAAAGTTAACTGTTATATTGGTGGATTTAGTACTGTTGCCAATGAGACACTGTTCGTTTGAGTAATGATTTGAATAGCTGCCTCTTGGACAGAGGAAAGGTTGTGCTGCATCAGGTATCTGTTCCTGCTCTTACCCGATTCACTAATTGAATAACTGTGTGTGATGCTTTGTTACCAGCCAAAGCCATTTGTCTGTATGTTAGATGGCAATCGATTCTTCCTGTTCCTGTTCAACAAACAAAGTGGGAGATACGTTTCAGCAGCTCAGCTGGGCAAGAGCAGTAAATATAAATCAGATCCTCAATGTGGTAAAGCTAAGCCCTCTATACTTTTCTTGCAGTGTTTTCTGAGTGCCAAGCCTGTGGCTGGATACGTTTTCCTCTGTGCGGCAGATCCATCACTTTGTGTATTTAGCTGATTTGCAGTTTGAAAGAAGGCTCAGCTGCCTGCTGTTGATATGGGAAGGTCATAAAGCTTTTCCTGATCTTGTTGGCTGATGCATCTGCCTTTGGAGATGACCAGCTCTATCACCACAGAGCTCTTGAGTAAATTACAGCTTTTTTTTTTTTTTTTTTTTTTTCCCCTGTATACAGTCACATTTGTTCAGTATGTTCTATTATCGGTTGTGGAAATGGCCTGTGATTTAATTTATTTGTGAACCTGCTTGATTGATAAGGCAAATAATAGCTTGCAAAGCTTTCATACTGCTTTTTATGTTGTATACGGTGTAGATGGAAATTGGCATCTGGTTTAAAACTTCTTTCATGAACTGTCTAAATCTGGAGCAAAAACTAATGATGAAATCAACACTGGCCAAGAGGAGAATGAACTGATTTTGTAACTTAGGCTACTTGTGTCTTTCTAAATGATTTTTTTGTTTTATCAGTCATTTAGTAGGAGAACCATAAATAACTGAGAGAAGGAAGAGTAGTCTGAGAGCGGAGATTCCATCTCTGGTCAAAAACTTGCAAACCTTCACAGTTTGATTTGAATTTTTAATTTTCAAAACACTGCATCAGCATTCAAGTCATCTTGTCTAAATTCTAGATTTTGCATATTTAGGAGAACATTTTGCAACAAGGGGGAAAAAAATTGAGAAAACAAACTACAGAATGAGTTGACATAGTGTTAACTTTCCAAGAAGTGTGCAGCATCAAGCCAGCTAAAATATTTAGGTTTTAGCTTCTGGAGTTTTGCTGATCTACTAGAGGTCAAGGAAAAAATGATGAAGAATTAATGCTTTCGCTTCTCAAGCAATTTCTTAAGATATTTTCATTTCAAGTGTAAGGGCTAGTTGTTTTTATTTGATTTTTTGCTTCCAAAACCAGAACAGATATGTTTGAGGTTCTTCCATCAGCTGTATAAGGCAAATGACTTACTGTCTGAATTCGTTCCTGTTTTCTTAAATAACTCTAGATTTCAGCATAAAAAGAAGGAAAAAATAAAGAAGAAAAAAGTAATTCATAATATTGTAGAAATGCTTTTTGCAGAAACTTTTTTTCATGATGGTGACTACTGATCTCTGACTGTTCCCTTTAAGGTTTTAGCCTCAGTATTTTTCTTTTTGTTATAACAGCAATTAAAAAAATGGTTTGATACTTTTTGACAAGAAATCCATTAAATTTCTTTAGATTCTGGAGAAACTTTCGAGCAGTAAAATACCAAATGGTCAAATGTGTTTTGAAAATGGCTACACTATTGACTTCTGTATATACAATGCTTACAAGTCAGTATCTCGATTGAAAGGGACTGAGGAACACCGCTGGTGACCAGTCACCAGCTGGATGTAGCCCAGTTCACTACGAGCCTTTGAGCCCCGCTGTCCAGACAGATCCTCACTCACCACATGGTGAACCTGCTCATCTCACAGTTGGACAGCTTTTCCAGAAGGATGATCTGAGAGACAATATCAAAAGCTTTACTAAAATAAGAATAATAAAAACATGCATCTGCCACCTTTCCTTCCCATTCTTGAGGTGAATGACCTTATTGTAGAAAGATACCAAATTAACTAAACAGGACTTTCCCTTTGTGAACCTGTGTTCACTGTGCCTGATGAGTGCACTGTTCTTCAAATGCCTTTCAATAGTGCGCATTATAATCTTCTCATAATTTTTCCAGGAACAGTTCAGTAGTTCCTTGGTCTTCCCTCATGCCCTTCTTGTAAATTGGAATAACTTTGGCTAGCTTCCAGTGTGTAGGGACCTCCCCAGACTCCTGATGTCGTCAGGAGATGCTTGAGGGGAGTCTTGCCACATCATCCACTAGTTTCTTCAGTACTCTGGGATGAATCTCCTCAGGCCTCATTACTTGGGAGCATTCAGCTGATTCCTTACAATTTCAGTGTCTGCAAATCTGTTCTCATGCTCATGGTCCTCCAACTAAGTCCATCAGTAATATTTAAAGACTGGGGCAAAAAACCCTCACATTGAATATCTCCATTTTATCTTCATCCTTATTAGTCAGGTGACCATAATCACTACGTATTGGTCCAGTGTTTTCGTTATACCTCCTTTTTCTCTTAATGCATTTAACAAAGCCCGTCTTATGGTCAGATACAGCACTGGCCAGTTACAACAGTTGAGCGTTGGCCTTTCATCATACAGATAAATTTCAGGAAGACTGCCTTAAATTTCTGGGTAAGCTTCTAGAGTCCCTTGCAAATTTTGATTCTTTCCTCCTTGTGAGGAAAGAAGTGAAATTTAAAGTATAAGTGGGACTTCTGTGTGATATAGTTACAAGTTCTCCTCAAAGTCCTATTTTTTTAATGAAAATATTTAGCTTTCAAATTACTTTGTATTTTAGAGAGGAAAGAAAGAAGCAAATACCAAATGAGATAAATTAAAGTTTAAAAAAGAATAGATTCTAAAATTTAATCTTATAGGTTCATTCCCAAGTACATAGTAGTCAAGAACTCTGAAAAATTATTTAAATTATTTGTAAAATCCTGATACCTTAAGGGATACTTACTTTTCTAAAGTCTGAAATACCACTGTTGGTGGTATTGCAAGAGCCTAAGAAGTATTTTCTGCTTTGCAAGTGCCTTTTAGTATGAGATGAAGTTTAATGTTACTGCTGTTGTGAATTTTTCTTTGCTTCTTTTTAAGTAATAAATATCTGAGCAGTTGATCATGCCTTGATTATGCTAAGGATATAGCTGTTAGAAATTTAAATTTAAGGAGGGACAGTCATATTATAAAACAAGTACCAAAAGGCTGAATTACGTATTGGTCTCCAAATACATGAAAAGTTCTAGCTCTGGTAGTGTTAGAGATGTAAATTGGGAGGGTATCGTTCAAGATGCGTAATTGAGTATGGAGTCTGTGTTAAAACAATTCTATATTCATTTAGCTGTTAAAATGCTTTGTAACCTTACTGTAACTAGTAGATGTGGTTCCTAGCAATCTTTGATTTCTTTGGTGAGTAAGAATGTCCTTCATGCTAGAAACTCCAAAAAGTTTTACCAGCCTCAGTACTGCTGACTAAAGGACCGAATTCTGTTCTAAATTGCAGTCTGGATTCGGTCATCAGTGCCCGGCACTGTATTATGGTCCGGCATCTGAGTTCTGGATTTGTTGGCACAAAAGCAATAAGCATTTGGTTTTAATGAAAAAAAGGAAATAAGGCTGTCAAAGGAAATGTTTTAAGAGGTAGTGAACTATGTTTTTATTTTTCTGTCTTCAAAACAGAGGGCATTTTAGCTAATGATGTTTTCTAAACATAATCAGAACAGTACATCCCAACTACAAAAAAAAGTAAATTTAATTTGCAAGTAGTTGGAGGAGATGTGGCATTATTAGCAAGGCAAAGTTGACTAATTCCATTTTTAGCCCACATGTTACTGTAATGTAACAACAGGAAGAGATTCAAATTTCTTGCAGAACTTCTGCTTCCCTACCATTGCAACACTAAAAGGCTAGCAACAGATAGGTAAATAAAAAAAGATATGTCTGTGGATGACAGCTGTGTGGTTGGAAGATTGATTACAAGGTATAAAATGACTCAAAATACCCCAGTCCTTATCTGTAGATTGATGGAATGAGAGTGATGATGGTGAGCTGGATATTTGAGGAAATTACCAATAGGAGAAAGGAAAGATGCAAAAACTGGAGGTTCTTACTTTGTTGGATGGCAAGGGCATAGGTGATACATCAGCAAATGAGTTCTGGTGTTTTCCTCTCCATTTTGGTCTCCTTTCGAAGAATGCAAGTACGTATCTAGATAAGGAGGATTTTGATTGAAGGATTTTGTTCAAAATTTTGTTTTTGCGGGTACTGACAGTATCCTTAAGTTAAAACTTGGATTTGAAACAGGTGTGTCTGAAATATTGTCAAACTCTGCTCATTCTCACAAGTACTCAGAGGGGGCTGTCAAAAAGCATAAGCTGTGCTTTTCTAAAGGCCCCACTCCTATTGTAGCTCCTGAAAGAAAGGGTTTGTGGGCACCTCCTCCAAGAAAGGCTTCAGAATTGCCTTGTGGTGCCGAGCAATGGGGACTCAAAGGTTGCCCATGTCTGTGGCTGCAGTGAGGGACTTGCCCCCTCGATGCCCCCTTTTCAGCCCTGTCCGGTGCCGCTCACTCTCCCTGGTTGTGCTGTGTAAGTGCTGGGGGGCCTGACTCAGGCGGGATTGTGCTGGACTGTGCCCTTCTGGGTTGCATTTCAGATGCATTGCAGAGCTGAGCAGTCCCTGACCCCTCTTGGATCTGTCTGTAGATGTTTGTTTCCAAAAATAACCAGGATCGTCTTTTTTTCTCTCTCTTTAGAAAAGCTGATTGCCTATCAACGAGAATTTCATGCTTTGAAGGAACGTCTCCGTATAGCCGAGCATCGCACTCTGCAGCGCTCTTCTGAGCTGAACGCTATCTTGGAGCAGTTCAGGCGTGCAGTAGCAGAAACAAATGGGAGTAAGAATGCAATGAATAATTTTTCAGGTACATACTGTGATTGAGCTGTTTTTTTAATAACTCTCCAGTACCGATATCTCTTCTTATTACTATAGAATAAGAAATCAGTACCAAGGAAGCCAAATTAAACTGTTCAGCAGTAGTCTAAAAAAAGAATGTGCAGCATGTTATAACTGGTGGGGATATTTTTGCTTTTTTTTCTTGAAATTTCTCTCAATGCTCTACACACTGTTCATTCTTACGTCTTTAGGGACTGAATACTTATATTCAACATCTGGCTTCAGAATTTTGGAACTTCTGGTTATTTATTTAACACATTGAATATATTTTGACATTAATTTGCATCTTTTTTAAATGGAGCTTGAGAGGAAAGGTGAGCAAACAAAAGAAATCGATGAACTTGAAGCAATTAAAATACATTTCAAAGTCAGCTGGAATGTATAAAAACATTATGATTTGTAAAATGTGCAGGTAATATCCTTTTTAATAACTAGTGATTAAATGGTAAACTGGTAAAGTCTTCCTTAAGTTTTTACACATTTTGGAGGCTGATACTCAAGTTTACCCAGAGCTGGTTTTGGCAGGTTGTTTTTTTTGGGTTTTTTGGGGGTGTTTTTTGGCAAGGCAAATAAGGAGTAGGGGTAGTTGTTAAGATTATAGGCCCTTGGTGCTGATATTAGTGATGAATTACTCTGACACTAATGGCCTATCCAACCTGATCTCTGTAGTTCCCTGGATCTCTGGGAATGCTATGGTTGCAAGTTACATTTAACATTATCTGTGACTCTTGTCTTCCTCTTCTGTGTGTCTGTCTTTGCTGTTAAAGCCAACACTTCTAGAGGAAGTCAAGTAATTTTGATACTAGATTTATGATTACTACTGTATTTATTTCTAAAAATGAGTTAGCTTGCTTATAGAAAGTATAGTTATAGGGAGTTACTTTCCTCTGATGTGGCTGAAGTTACTGATTCATATTTGTAACATTCTACCATGTGTGGTTCCCAACTGCGACATCCTCTTATTTCCATGTGGAGCCATGATGGCAAGTCAGCTGAAGTCTGAGTTCCTGAGCTTTTGTACTCAGAACTTGGTATGAGATAGTTGTGTTTTTGTTGGTTTTTTTTTTTAATTATTAAGTTTAATGTACTTAAATATACATAATACTATGTAGTATTTGCTATCTTTTGAAGCTGAAACAATTCCAAGTTGGTTTATGTAGATCATTCTTCATTCATACTTTGACAGAATTTAGTCCAGCTTTCACAACTGAAGCTAAAGGAAATGTTAGCAAGAAAAGTAAAATATGCTAGTATTAGAGTCTGTCAAAATAAGCATTTCTACTTATAGCATCTATTAACAAAGACTTTTTTCAAGATATTAAGTGGTTACGAATGTTGTTTCACCCAAAAATAAATATTAAAAAAATGCAATCAAACCAAAAGCCACAACAAAACCTGTCTACCTTTGTAGAAGCTACAGTCAGAATCTGAGGGGAATGACTTTTATGGCATTACTTTTCTCAATTCTTCACACATCAATTTTGTCTCAGAAACCTTGAGTACAGTTTTTTACTTAACTTGATGTTACGAAGCCCATAAGTTTTCAAAGTTCCATATGCTATCATGACTGTCATTTGAAAGAAGAGTTGTTTTCACACTCAATGTAAGAAAATCAACACTCACAGCAAGGGAATTTAAAAACTGTTATTTGCAACTTTGAGAGCCACCTGGACATCCTGGGAAGCAGTTACTCTAGAAAGAGCAAAAGTTATTTTAAGTACTCCGATGGACTAAATTAAATTCATGTTGGGATATATTTCATTGCAGAAATACTCAGTATCTCAATTGGATGTTTAATGCTATTTTTGTTTTGTATCTGTATGTGCAATGTGTCCCAAAATATATTTGCAGCTTTGAAAAATTATTTGCAATAGCATCAATACATAGTGATGAGCTTTGTCAGTGAAACTGAAAAAATAATCTAGGTAAATAAGCCTCTCATTTTGATTAACTGAGGGGGAAAAGAAAACAACCAGCAAACAAAACTCCTAAATAAATGGAGCATTCTTCTGTGATTACACACTAAGTCTTATGTGATCAAGTAAGTCTCAACTATATCTGTAGCAAGGTTACTCAGTGGAAAATAATCTTGGCCATCATTAATTTAATCAAAATTAAAATAAGAAAAGATTTCCTTAGACACACGATATAATGGCTCGGTAAAATGTTCTGGTTTTCAGTTAAGACCAAGCTTTGAATTTTGTACTATTTACTACTGCATAAAACTTTTGTTATATGAAATCAGTAATGCAGAAAACATATATGTTTGCAGATGAAACACTGAAATTGTTGAAAGAGCTGACAAGCAGAAAATCTCTTCAAGTGCCAAATATCTATTACCATTTGCCTCATTTGCTGAAAAATGAAGGAAGCCTTCAACCTTCTGTGCAGGTTGGCCTTGGAAGGACAGGAGGTATGCTGATAAAATGTTTATGTTTTATATCTGGGCGACTTTCTAGTTGTAGTAATATAATTTGCCACATTACTTGGTAGATCAAGGGCATCTCGTTTAACTTGTGTGATATTGATATCTTAGAATTGACACTGAACCCACCATGAAAGGAGTTTGGCTTCAGCTTTTCTCTTTTCTGCATGATCTCAGTCACCCCCATGACATGTTAAGATACATATTAAGAAGCATTTAGTTTGCCTCATTTTTATTTTTAACTAAGTAAAAGGGAACAAAGTTCAAGTGTTACAGATTCTGAACTGTAATGGACATATCCCCTTGGCTTTTCAGAATTGTAGGGTAATTGTGCATGGATATAATTATTTTAGAGTTGATGTTTCTGTTTTTTTGAACAAAGTGTTTCAATGTATAGCTTACAGTTGGGAGAACTAGGATGATCAAATATAATTGCATCAATAAAATGTGGACATTCATTGGAGGCAGAAAAAAAAATCAGTGTTGTCGTGCAATACTCTTGATTGCCTTTTTTCTTTTTTTCTAATCCTCACAAATTCTGACCTTTGGTCATTAGGATATCTCCATGGAATCCCACTCTTGGAGGTCTAGAAATCAAGTAGCATAAAGCCCAACCAAGTTTATAAACCTCCAAGCATATGTGTGTGTGTGTCTCTAAGCTTGAAGGCCCCACCAATGAATTCTTGTTTCTGTGTGTGCCATCTGGCTCGAATGGCTTGGGCTATTGTCCATTAGACTTTTCTTATTTTCTTTTCTCCCCTTCCTTGCTTTTGAAAGAAGGGTTAGTTAATCATGGCCTGTATTTTTTTTTCATTGCTTTGGTAAGTTTGATTGCTTGTGCTTTTGACAGAAGGCATGCCTGGGTGACAAGGGAGATGCTTGGTGAATACTTGGTAAACCACCTCCCTGGGCTGCCCAGGGAGGTGATTGAGTCGCCATCCCTGGATGTGTTTAAGCATCGCTTGGACGTGGTGTTGAATGATATGATCTAGGGGTGAACTTGTAAGTAGGGTTAATGGTTAAACACGATGATCCCAAGGGTCTTTTCCAACCTGGATGATTCTGTGACAAATGTGTGAGCTCAAGACATAGAGTTGTTGTTCTGACTATAAACACCGTTTATTTCAGTGTTGTTCAGGAAGGAAAAAGGCTCATATTCTTTATTGTTTTAAGTGAAGCCTGTATTATATCCCCCGGGAATATATGACAGAAGTTTGAAATTGCAAGATAGAAATTGGAATCAGGTTTATTTAATTAAAAAGAGGCAGGAAATGCAGAGCTAAAATTATTTTTCCATCTTCCCCTTTCCTCGTCACTGTGCTTTTTGAGTGTTTGTTTTAAAAATTCAGAGCTTGTTAATGTGTAATTGCTGGGCAAAGCAGGCTCCATAAGGAAGGATAAACAACATTTTTAATAGTTGTTTGATTTTAAATATTTATGCTGTAATAAATGATTTCACATAGATGGCTTAGAATGCTGGTGCTGACTTTGTGAAGTCTGCTTCCCCTTTTACTGGGTTCCTGCTGCTGTCTGCTGTGTTACTGGTAGAACCAGCTCTGGCTAGGGGATGGAGTGCAGAAGGCTATGGGAGAGTAAAGGAACACGGTAGTTGAATGGTCAGGTGAAAGATGATGTTAACAGCATTGTAGCTGGAGCCAGATTGTTTTGCATTTGAGGTGCTTTTAACAGGGATGAAAGATTTCATGGAGGTATTTCCAGTTAGTACTGAAGACCTGGACTTGCTTTTCAAGAACTCAGATTGGCTGCAAGGCAAGTAATAGCGTTTTTCAGCAGTGCCATTTTAAAAGATGACTTCCGAGAAGTTAAATACTTGTGAAAAATGGTTATGCCAGTTTGAAAATAGAACCAAATTAGGAGGTTTAATCGCTCTCTAATTCTTGGTACACCTTATCTGATGAATGCCATGGTTGTTGATTATTACCTATTGTATTGAGGTTTGCTTGGCAAGGTTTTGGTAGTGCGGAGGGCTTTAGGGTAGCTTCTTAGAAAAGCTGCTAGAAGCTTCTTCAATATCTGACAGACCCAATGCCAGCTGGCTCCAAGACAGACCTGCTGCTAGCCAAGGCCATCAGCAACATTGGTAGCATATTTAAGAAGGGTTAAAACTGCTGTGCAGCAGCAGCTGGAAGAGAGGAGTAAGAATATGTGGAGAAACAACCTTGCAGACTCCAAGGCTAGTGAAGAAAGAGAGGGAGAAGGTGCTCCAGGCACCAGAGCAGAGATTTCCCTGCAGCCCATGGTAGTGAAGACCAGAGTGAGGCAGGCTGGCCCCCTTGCACCCATGGAGGTTGACAGTGGTGTAGCTGTCCACATCTAGCCTGTGGGTGAGCCCATGCTAGAGCGAGTGGATGCCTAGAGGAGGCTGTGACCCTGTGGGAAGCCTGCGCTGCAGCAGGCTTCTGGCAGAACCAGTGCAGAGATGAGACCATTCTCGAGCAGATTTGCTGCTGGCAAGACTTGGGCCCTGCAGGGCACTGTTCCTGAAGGGCTGCGTCCCGTGGAAGGGACCCATGATGGAGAAGTTTAAACCCGTGGGCTGGACTTAATGTTGGAGAAGTTCATGGAGGACTCCTGTGGCAGGGATCCCAGGCTG